GTTTGTTCAAAATGCTTATGTGTGAAGATAACGTGGAAGAGAAATGACATGGCTTGAGGGCAAGAAAGCACAATCTAAAGCCTCCAGAAAGTGTATGTAAGGACAGCTAACCCTGGAGACCCATGCTTAGGATGGTTCTTGGAACCAGGTACTGCACTTCAAAACTAACAACTTAACTGCAATGCATCTTCCAGCCACTGTGTCTAAATGACTTCTGCCTACTCACTAGGGACTGTAATACCAAACAAGCCAAACCTAAGCAGTATAGTGGTTGGACAAAGAAGAAGAGGAATCCCTTCCCATAACAATGCAGCCCTAAACATGTGCCTTTCTTCACATGGGAGATCTATGATTTTTCCGTTATTTTAATTGACATCTGTTGGGAGCTACGAACCCTCCAGATCCTGAATTTCTGGTAAACAACTTGTAATGCTTGCAGCTGAGTACTCCTGAGTACTCCTGAGTACGAGACCCTCAGGAGTTCCTGATGGGAGGAAAGTGGTTTCTGGTGTGCTTGGCTGGGGCGTGGCTATAGAACAGTGGCTATATAGTCAGTTAAGGACTTCTATATAAGTGGCTCTGGTACACATTAAAGGTGCATTCTTGTTCAGGAATGATCTGTGTCTCTGTGTGTCTTTGTGTGTTTCAATCTCCAGCCCCTTGCCTGGTTCACGAACTGTATGGTAGTGCATTGAGCACAGACAGGCGTGGTGTACTACAGACATCTTCTACCCCTGAATCCTTAATGAGTTTCAAAACCAGTGTCAGGGCCACTGAGCTGCATAGGAGCATTTTGTTTTACAAGGACTCAATCATTAAATAAGGCTGACTTGTTCATGTGGAGAATTTCCTACGTTAGTGAAAAACTATGGTAGAATGCTCTTTCCTACAGGTTACAAGTGACCACCCCCCTCTCTTATTTTGTGTGGTAGTACCCTGGCCATTCTTGTCACCACGGGTTTGATATTTCTACAGTTTATGCAAATGAAAGAATTACTCTATGTAGCCATTGCCACGATGGCTGATGACTTAAATGCGGCATTTATAGAAAGTCACTCGCTGTAATAGCTTCACTTAGGAGTAATGGAGGATATGTGCTACATGATTCAATTTGACACAATTCTGGCTTCCTTTTGTAATGCACACAGTTTTAACATCAATATTAGAATAAAAAAGCATGTACATAGCAGAACCTGATGCTTCTTTCCTTAAATACGATAGAAAACTCTGTGCAATTAACCTTTTCATCATCTGTAATAATCATAATAATACTAGAATCACGAAATTTAAAATGCAATGAACTAACATTTACAATTATTTCTCTCCATAACAAAATACTTCAGTTCAGAGGTCATTTTTATACTTTGCCTGCTTTGTGTTTGCCTTTTTTCCTCCTACTTGTGGCCATTCTCTTATTTCCTAAAATCCTGTTGTTTATTTGAACATACGGCCGAAACTGAGGATATGATTAATATGAGAAAATACAGAGTTTGCTGAACTTCTAATAAACTTAGAGACCATTTGAAGAGATAAATAACTGTTTTTTTTTATTTATGAATACTGCGAAACCTTCCTCTTTTCTTGTCAGTTCAGCTGCACTTGCAGACAGATGTTACTGCTGACCTTTCGGGAAGCATCCTCCAGCACGAATGAAACACACAGAATGCGCTGCCCTGTACACAGCCTCCTGGTGATGGACACGGCCAAATGGTTTCGCATGACAACAGCTATCACACAATGGTAATATTGAGAGCAGTTAAATATATGGGGGAGTCTGACATGATAATTTTATAATTCACAGGAAAATGATTCCTTCATCATTGTGAGCGACTTTCACTGTAAACAAAGTAGTTCAGAGTGACTTGGTGATGAGTTGAGTGGGAACTAGAGCAATGCTGATGGATGAGTTTGAAATCAGGCTTTGACGCTATGCAGCATCCACCAGACGGCTAACATTAACAAAGGCTCATTCCTTTTTTCTGTAGCTAGAAATGTAAGGACTCTACAACCTTATAAAATAAAATAAGATTTTTTTTCTGGGTTATCCAAATGTTAGAATTACTATGTTGCATCAAAGGCCGGGGTTTGACACTGACATGGTCTAATTTGCAAACATATTGTAATATCATATCTATTTCAATATATTGTCAGATGGCAAACCCTTGTAAATTAGCCCCAAGAAGTTTTGTCTTTGTTTTTTGAGACAGAGTGTCACTATGTAGCCTTGACTAGCCTGAAACTTGCTATGTAGCTAAGGCTGGCCTTGAACTCACAAAGACTCACCTACCTATGCCTCAGGAATGGTGCAACTAAAAGGGCATACTACCACCCCCGACTCACCAAAATTTTAGTTTCTTCTGTTGTTACAATTTGTCTCTAAGTGAAGAATCCCTTGTAAAAAAGACAAAACAAAACAAAACAAAAAACTCTAGTTTTTGTTTATTTAAAATTGTCTTTTATTTATTCCAATTTTGGTAGTTACTAGTCTTTGATCAAGAATTATCCCACAGTTTTGTGTAAATGTACTCGAAGAGAGAGCGAGAACTAACTGTCTCTCGCTGACAATAGTTTTGCAGAGCAATGTGGCAAATGCACTTGCTGAGTTACCATAATACATACTTAACCATAACAGAACAATCCTTTCAAATGCACATGTAGGAAATACAAACTCTGTTTCATCTCCAACAGAGCTTTATATATTTTTCAACAGCTTATGATCTGAGCCATCTATCTTATTTAAATGTGGAATGCACATAAGTACCACAGATGCTTCATCTGAAATAATTGTATGATGATAGAAATTTGATAGTGGGAGGGAGTGAGAGAGTGAGGGGGAGGGAGAAGAAGAGGACTACAAAAACATCAAATCATAATTACCACTGTTTTATATTAGTGGTCTATCTTTAACTCATTGAAAAGGCCATGACCCAGACTGGGCTCAGGTGACAGCCTCAATATTTATAAAGGTCTTTCTGAAATATTTGCAAACATTTTCTCATTTGCTGGATCCTGGAAATTCAGGATGCATACGAATTTATTACTGCCTCTGAAAATAGACAGGAAAGGAGAAATTGACACAGTGTTTCATATCAGCACTGGAAATACCTGGGCTAATGGGAAGTCTCTTGGGTTTCCTAGACTATGAACGCTGTGTCCTTAGGTTCTCATAGGGAAGGAGATTATGCACATGACAGGCTCTGGCAGAGATGCATCTGATCTCAATAGTTTTATAAATTTCGTGTAAAAAGAAAAAATGCAAAACATTTACTGTAGGTTGATATTTATACCGTGTGTTGATGCTCAAACAGCTTTGGCAGCATTCTGAGGACTTGGCAGTTTTTGTAAAATATGTCAAGAAAGAAGCACAACATCCTCACGCTGCCTTAAACAGCAGATCTAACCTCTCTTCATACACCAGTGCAGCCTTGACAGTCTCCCAGCACCTTACAAAGAGACAAGGCTCAGTTAGCATTAATGGAGACAGGCACCCGTGCTGTGGCATGACCTGCAAGCCCTGTAGAGTCACCTGCTAACCCAACTTCCTTTAGTAAAAGTAGCTATTTTATTTCAGCCCAGTTTTAAGTACAAAGGAATTGGTTTGTAAGGAAAGACATACATGGACATTCTGGCATGGTCATTAGCTTCCTTCTTCCACTTAAAAAATCAAACGTGCATCTTCAAGAAATATAGGTTTGTTCTGAATAGAAATAGTTAAGTTTAAGAAAAGCAAAGATTTACTTATAAAAAAGAGTCTCTTCCTATTATAGCACTTTAATACATTTTCTCCTTTGTATATCATTATAATTTAGTTCCAACTTATTCAAGCTGGCCGCGATTACTCACTCCATATGTTTTCATTGTAGATGGATGGAATTAATTTTTAAATAACCAAAATACATTTTCATAATTACCTAATATGTTAAAAATAGTGTTTGTTCTTAATATTTTTTAAAGGGAGGCCAGCGACAATGTAGATACTCGGACTACTTATAAAGACCGTGGCTGAAAGGAGAACTTAATAGTGGTTTCTCAGGTAAGCCAAAGGGGCAGCCACCAAAATAAATCCATAATGAACTGTAGGTTATTGCTATAATGTTATGTTGCTTTAATCCTTGCTACTGTTCTCAAAGCAAGTCTCAGTAGAATTGCAAGGGGAAAACCCAATTTTATCAAGGAACCTCTTGACACAATTCCTTTCCTTAAAGTGTAATTCCAGAAGAAAACTCTCTTAGGACAGGAAGTACACTGGCAACAACCCAGGAAAATCACTTAGATGGGCAGTGGAGAAAATGCTCAGAGCACTCACCCAGGACGGCCCCAAACATCATTCCATCTGACCAAGAGAGGAAGGTGTTTTATGACTATTTTAAAAGTTCAAACACATGAAGAGTGAGAGGCCTGGACTTGCATATATTTTTGATTTTGAGAAAGCATATTGTTTTATATACTTCAGGATGGCTCAATATTATTCCTAATGACTGCAGACAGGATGAACAAAGTCAATGTTCAGGCTACTTCCCTGTTGGTAGCATTAGCTCTCTTTCGACTCTATGTGGATTCCCTGCTGCCCATGCTCAACCACCGTGTCTCACCAGTTTTAAGTCTTAATCTTTACGAGATTCCATACAGCACTCACTCCTTCCTTGGAAGAACACATTGCATTTCAGTCAGACGATTATACATGTGACTGTCAAGCCTCCCTATTTACAGAAGAACCTCAGCACATATACGGTTCATGCTTGTGCTAACTCAGAAAAGTCACTGTTCATACAGAACTGAAAACTATATTCATCACTAGAGTCCTTTGTGACGTAGCCAAATGAAGCATTTCTAGAAGTGATATATTTGAAAGCCTTGGACTGAAAATTAGAGATGAATCATTTATGAACTTTGATTAAAAAAACACATTTTATGTGAAGTCTCTGATCACATCAAACCAAATGTTAAATAAAAAGGAATTCTTGTTATAGAAAGGATTGGTAAAAACAGAGCTCACTCACCATTCCGGCTCTCTTCATCAATGGCCACGATGGTAGCTGGTGGGCCTCCCCTAGCTAGTTTGCAATCTAGAGAAAAGATAATCAAAGAATAGAATTGACAAGTGCACAGAAGTTACTCAAAATATAGAATGATATTTAAAAACTATAATCAACTTAATATACAACATTCCAAGTGTTTTACTAGGAAAAAAAAAACATTTTTGAAGGTCCACACTAGTTCTATGTAGTTCTATGACACCAAACCAAACACGGCTTAAACCTTTACTGTGAAGTCAACAAAGATGACCGGGAAACAGTTCTTCTGAACAGAGCTAATGGAATGGTAATTTAACACAGAGAAATAACATAGAGTGATGATTAACTGGATAAACCACGAGAAAGCTTCACAACAGAAACATAATTGAGAATTAATTGTGATAAAGGGTATAATTAAAGACAGTAGATAGAATTTTAATAATGTTCTAAAACAATAAAGGGAAAATGGACAAGCAAGGGGTGTCATGAGGAGCTGGGGGTTATTTTAAGTCACCTTACCCTCATATTGCCAGTCTGGAGTCAAAGTACAGAATCACCAGTGGAAGCAGATCAGAAAACAGACGAAAGAAAGGAAGAAAGGATACATGGATATTTTTAGTGAGAAGTTTACAGATACATAAAAGTCATTCTATGATAATAGATGAATTACCTAATGATTTGTGGAAAAGAAATACATCATATTTTATAATATTAATAGAATATTAACATGAAAATTAGATAATTTATACATCTAATCATTAGCATAGAATTATTAGCAGTGACAATAACATAAAATACATGGATACAGGTTTTTAAAAGATATTTAAATTTCTTATAGAGTTTTTATCTTTACATTGAAATCTTTGGAGTAATGTCTACCAATCAGAAGTGGTCATGAATTCATATCTTAAGCACTCATCTCTTGAATAATTATTCAATAATTATTGAATATTACTCAATAAGGCTCTAAAAATAACATTATAACATCCTCAAGTTAAATATGAAAGCTAAATTCACAAGCTGCCACATGTACATTTCAGAGGCAAAAAACAGTCTCTGGAGAAACCAATAGGCTAATGTGGATTTATGACACACGGATATGCATGCTGGAAAGTACTGTGCTACACGTGGCTAACATGTATGTGCCATCTGGAAGCGATTTCAAGATTTTCTCATAAAAAATGTTTCCTGCCTTTCATGGACGTCGGCACAGGTCATGCAGTCTTTGGAAGCCCAGTTCTATGAGGTAAGTGTGCATCTTCTCTTTTGAAGTGAAAAGGCTGTGAGCTCTGCCGCTTTTATCTTGTCTTTGTCAGCCTCGTCAGAGTCCCTGCCATGGTAACTCTCTACTCCTTTCCCACCTTCCTGCACCTCCCCACAGCTTGGCTCTGTCTGTCCACTCTGTTCTTATACAGCAATTATTACTGGCCTCCCACGTCCCACACACCCTGTTCAGAATAGAGTTAAAAGGTTTTTTTTTTCTTTTCTTTTCCAAAACCTATTACGTGCTTTGTTTGAAGTAAAGAGAAACTCTGAATAACCATCTAAGATTTTCCTTCTCTGTCCCAACTAAGGCTTGAATCATTGGGTCCTTACTTTTAGTAGTTTGATACTTTGTACTTGGGTTGTGAGCCTAGCCTTCAATGTCTCAGGCATTTCTCCAGCCTCCTAGTCTTTGTACAGCAGTGACAGTAAGTGGTGTACTTATGGAAATGTGGTAGACAGGGACAATGGGAGAATCATCCCCAGAAAGTTTTGATATAGTTCTCCTAGAACCCTAATAGCTTGCCACAGGACAGATGTGATCTGAAGTGATGAACCTGGCTTTGATGCCTCACCCCTGCCTTCCTATGTCATGAGATGGCCTCGTCTCTCTCTCATGCTCTTCCTATTGATGTGTCTTTTAGTGAAGCTGGAAAGTATGGCAGATAGGCGGTCGAATCCTCATGTGTGGGCCTCCCAAATCATGCATAGGAGAAAATTCTTCATAATTTCCCATCCTAAGTATTTTTGTATGGAAACAGCCCTGTGTATCTCATGGGAACAACGGTATTTGGTAGAAAGAGTTGAGATGAGAGGAACAATAACACCTAAATACAGGTAGAGTTTAATGCCGTGTTGGTGGAGTCAATTATTTTTCTTAAATCCCAGATGACAAAAATAAATGCACGGATACAGTGACAACTAATTTGTGTGGAGAGACAAACGGACAATGAGAAGGCAGAAGTGGCTGAGGAGCAGAGGAGTGGGAATCTGATGGATCCTTGAGGAGGGTTTTAGATTGTGCTTGTCTTTTCAGCTGCATGGGATGGAGCATGTAATCTTCAGGACTGTTACCTTCATCCATGTCTAGAAAGGGCCTAAAACCGTGACAGATACAGAGAATGGGTAAAACTGTCACATTCTAGAGTGAAAACTGGAAGAGGACGAAAGTTATTTAATTAGCAAGATTATCAGCAAGATTTAATCAGCAGGCAGGATGAAAGAAAAGGGAAAAATTAACTTAAGTTAACATATGTAACTACTAAGCTATAACCAGTTTGCGTCTTGTTTATAACTAGCAAGATGGCTCAATTGGGAAAGGCACTTACCACCAAGACTCAAAACCTGAGATCTATACCTGTGATGTGGTGGAAAATGAGCCAAAGCCCTCAAGTTGTCCTCTGACAGCCCCATACATGTAATGACACACATAAGTACAAGCAAGTAAATAAAAAATAACACATATTAAAGAAAGGAGAGATCTTAACATAACAAAACCAAAACCAATTGGGGAAAAAACCGAAACAAAAAATAGAAAGGAAGAAGAAGAAGGAGGAGGAGGAAGAGGAGGAGAAGGAAGAGGAGGGAAGGAGGGAGGGAGGGAGAGAGAGAGAGAGAGAGAGAGAGAGAGAGAGAGAGAGAGAGAGAGAGAGAGATTTTTATAACCAGACTATTTTTATAGTCCAGAGTCCCTGGTTCAATAATCATTTCCTAGACATACTGAAACATATCTATTTAATGCTTAATCTTCTGGAAGCTCATTTTCCCCTCGTCTTTCCCCACAGTAGTAGAAAAAGCCACAAAGTAAGAGTTTACCTCAACTTTTTCTAAGTTAGATCCCTTATTGGGCTCCCATTTTCCACTAATAAGTTACCATGTCTAACTCATACTTCAGGATTGGCCCAAGCCCATTTTTACTTTATTACTTTTAAACTCAGAACACTAATGTGTTTGTCAGACACATAATCTATTAATAACACTATTCAAGGCAGCTCAAGTTTTTGTTTTGAAATGATGCATTCATGAAAGTATAATTAGCTCTGAAATGCACGAAAACACTTTTAATAACAAGTTTATTTAAAACCGTCTTGAGAAGGAAGAAATTTTAGATAGAATAGACAAAGACTTATTGAGTGTAAAATACCCTAATTGAAATCAAAGGAGGCAATTTGGACTTGGCTCCTCTCTTTGGCCTGTGAAGAACCCACTTGCCACGAGAAGGGTAAATTATCTGGTGGTGAGGAGTCCTGGGAAATGGCCTTCTCCTGTCTGTTTACTTTACTCTCCACCATATTGGTTAAACCACTGATTTGTCTTCCATTGTGAAAAATTTCACCCTCTTAGGGCCTTACATATTTCCAACATCTCATTTGCTACTAAATGAGAGAGGTGAATGCCAACACCAGAACCAAGGTGGTTTATTCTACAGACATGTATGTCATCATGCTAAGTGTATGCCATGCACCCGTCAATGATCTTACAGCTGGTTGGTTTGAGAATCAGAAGGAAGCCCTAAACTGACATGTCATGACAGGTGTGAGATTTGAATCCCAAGGCTGGGTGCTTGAACTGCACCCCAAGGACCATTCAGATTCAGTTACTAACTGAAATCCTTATTCTGAAGAGGAAGCAGCCAGGAAAGAGCATTCAATTCTAAAATTTCAACTCATAGAAAACACTTATTCCAGTAAAATTCAGAGTTATTTGCTTTTGTCGTGTACTGACATGACAATGATCATCTGATTGTCGGGGACTGACGCATGGCTTTTCCTACCAGTTTTCTGGGAGTTCCATTGCTCAGATAATGTCTGCACCTGTAATTATGAAGCAGAGTTCTAAAATAAAAAGTCAGTTGTTACTTCATCTTAGACCCAGGCTGGTCTCTTTCAGTCACACTGGCAAAGTGAATATCAATAATTCATTCCAACTCCTGAGAGAAGTTGTCTATGCCCCTCCCAATTCCTGTGTTTCCCTCCAGGGTCACACTAGCAAGTCTGAATGTAATTTGTGAAAGACATCTCATATGTGATGATTCCCATCTCTAGACCTATCAGAAAATACCTAACTCTTTTTTATAATAGGTTCTCCCAAATTTGCTTCCTACAGGAAAACATGTCTCAACATTTTATGTTAACTTTCTATCTTTAATATGGTGGTCTTTGGAAAATAAAAATATTCTTTTAAAAATGCCTAAATACATATAATATCCAGTTCCTGTTCCCCAAGACTCTGGAACCTTCGTGGAAGGGGGGAAGAAAGGTTATAAGAGTCAGAAGTGGTCAATAACACTAAGAAAATAGTGATTTTCGTACACAACGGCGAAGTTACCCTTGTGAACATACAGCAACTGTGACACTTTACACAAGAAATGTGCCCTTTCCAGCCAGAAAAAAACATTAGCATAGATGGGGTAGGGGATGGGCATGAAAACACCCCTATCTGAGGAACTATTCCATAGATGATGGGAGAGGGAGAGTCAATTTTCTTGATGATGGGACCCTGGTAAGTCAACCACATGTCAGGAGAGACCCACTCTCAGGACTATTTGGGCCACCACAAACTGGACTCCACAGGAAAAGAAAAGTAAATAAAAGAAGAAGAAATGTCAAAGTTGGGTGGGGAGGGAGAGAAGGGTGGGAAGGGTGGTAATAGGAAGTGTTGAGGGAGGTGGGATGAATATGCCCAAAATACATTATGTGCAATTCTCAAAGAAATAATAAAATTGTTGAAAATGACGAATCATTTATTTCAGGTTAAAACTAAGTATTTTGGTGGCCTAGAACTCAATG